AATAATTAAACAAGCAGACCATCTTGAGTAATTTGAATAAAACACTCAAATGAATATGAACTGCCTAAATATACATTATATATAATATATGATCTGCCAAAAAAAGACAGGAGAGATAGATTTATACCTTTCTCAAGCACATTTGAATTCAGCTCTCTCATTCTGAGTCATTATCCATTACATCACCCAAATACATATATAATTCACACTGTTTAAAATAAGAAAAGAGGGCATCTGCTGAAACATGTATGCACAAAAATAACATCTGGAGTAGTGTGTGTGTGTGTGTGTGTGTATATATATATATATATATATATATATATATATATATATATATAAAATTTTATTTTTAGACTATGAAGCAGTGTTCCTCTCATCTGACATCTGTGCATTTTTATAAAAACGTAAGATATACTTTGTACCTGATTAGCTGGAAAACCAGCAAAACTTAAGAAAAAAACTTAAAAAATGCCTGATAATTATGAACCTACCTAATATATATATATATATATATATATATATATATATTTATATTTATGTTATCCAATTTTAATTACTCCTTGCCAACCTTACCAAGAAATAAACAATTTATAAGTTTTACTTGGTAATAGTCTGAAAAATACAAATGATTCTGGCAATTCACATATACTGAAGAGAAGTTGTAAAATGGTTCCATTTAGTAAAAAACTGAAAATTCTCAATAAGGAAAGAAAAAATCATATATGAAGTTGCTAAAAACGCGTGTGTGTGTGTGTAAATATATATTTCTAAAGAATTAACAGATTTATTTTTAATCCAACATTTTTATTACTTCAAACATTATTTTAGAGAATACTCATTTTTGAAATAGACACCCCACTTTTTTATTTTATTTTAAACAGTGTGTATTATGTTTATCAGCCTACACATTTGAAAAATCTTAAAGAAAATGTGCCCTCTAACAGGGATTGAACCTGCATCCTCCTTTGTAAAAGAAAATACTGTTTAATCCTACATGCTTTACCACCCAGGTGTCGAGAACATCACAGTTCAGCATACCCACTATAATAATGTTTGAAATATTATAAAATTTCAGATATAAGTAAAATATTTATCTGTAAAAGGACAATATGAATAAAGACAAAAGAAAAACTTAGCCAACACTAAGAGACACCCACAAATATTTATGAATATGGATTGATGAATATTTATGAGTATTTTGAAAAACAAGCAACATTTGTAGAAACTTGCTGCAAAGTAGAATCCTTATATTTGCCTTGATAAAGTCCATTAGAAGATGAAACGCATTGGCTAAGATATGTTTTCCTTTTCTTTTTAGTCACATATTATATAAGGAGGCACGTGGAGTAGATAGCGGCTGAGGATTGGAAAGGTATTAATCCTCTTCTCCTTCCAGCTTTGGGTAAATAGCAGGACAGACTGGGTTCTATAGACTTGGATGGCAACTGGTCTAAGAGAAAGACAACTCTGAATTCAAAATCTGCGGAGGGTTGTTTGGGGACCTTGTGGCATGTAGCGCACCAGGTCTCTGTATTCGTCCCTTTAAAAGGTGTGGTTGGTTCTGCACAAAACCTTTACTACTATAATCAAATCATGTGCTTGTGTCTGGGCTGTTGGTCCCTAGGAACTGAGCTGCTTGACCTTCATATGTCAAATATAGCAGGTGAGTCCACCATATATATATAGTCACTGTGTGTTTATCTAAAAATAAATATGCTTAAATTCACCTTCATCCCTGCTGTGCACCAATGGCTTAGTGGTAGAATCCCCGACTGATGCCAATTCAGTCAGGTTTCAATCCTAGCTAGAGGCAACCAGACGTTTAGCCACACTGATGAGCTGTGATACAGTGAAACAGTCTGTGGATGACAATATATTTATATATATATGACTTTGTATGACTAGGTTGGCCAGAAGGTCCTGATTCACTTAGGAAACAAAAAGAAAACAAAAAAAATCTTGATCTCTGGTGGAATTTCCAAGGAAAAGTGCATTTTGAGTTTGTTCCAAATGGTTGTGCCATCAATGTTAAACTGTAATACAAACTAATATGCTTGACAAACTAAAGAAGGAGTATCCTGCTTTGGTCAATTGAAGTCGGGCTTTGTTTCAGCAAGACAATGTGAGGCCACACACTGCTTGGTTGACAAAGGAGAATTTCAAATAGATGAATGGTGTTGAGATTCTTTCACATCCACAATTCAATCCTACTACGATTGACTATGGCCTATTCCACTCAATGGCACATTTCTTCTGTGGCCAGTAATTTAACACTTTTGATGAAGTGAAGGTAGCTTGTTTACAGTTTTTTATTCAAAGCAAGTGGACTGGTATTTGGGACACATTTGGATGCTGGCTGATCACTGACAGAAGATCGTCAAGAATGATGGACTTTATTTTGAAGAATAAATGTTGGTGTTTCTCCATGTAATTTTGTTGTTTTCTTTCAGCTTTCTAAGTGAATCAGGACTTACTGGCCAACCTAACATGTGCAATTTAATTTCAGGCATCTATTGTGATCTTTGAATATATTCACTATGAATTTTTAAATTATATAATGACCCCAAAATTAAAATAAACCTACATTGCATACCAGTAACAATACAAATAAAAATCACAAAAAAATACATTTAACTTATTCCACTGTAATGAAAATTTGTAATAAAAAACAAACATGCAATTCACAATAAATTATACAAATTAAATTACAAATTGTCAGCAATATGTGTCCATAAAACCAATAAGCCAATTTTGATACTCATTACAAGGGTTAGCTGAAAAGTTCATAAACTGACCAATTGTTTATTTTTCTTCATAGTCCCCCTTGCAGTTCACACACTTCTTCTATTGGTATTGTAGTGCTTGGATCCCATTGGTGAAGAAGCTTTCATCCTGTTGGTCAAAAAAGTAATCAACAGCAGATATGACATCATCATCACAGCAATACTATTTCCTCGCCAAGTGTTTTTTGCAGAACATCTAGACCTTGGTCATCTTCAAGACTCCCTGTTCTCCTCCTAAATGCAGCTACCCACTTTTGCGCTCTTGATAAAACTGGAGTGTCATCCTCTAATGTAGCAACCATGTCAACATGAATGTCCTTAAGTGCTAAACCTCTTTTTTCTTCAGGCACTTGATAACATAACGATACCAAATTTTGTCCATTTTCAAGAGAAGTTGCTACTAGTTATTTTAAAGTCTTTTTTTCAGCAGTCAGATGTCAGTTTAACTGGAAATTTTAACAATGCAGTTATTAATAAGAAAAGTTGAAATTATGCAAGATTTCACAGTCTAGCATCACTCCCTCACATTCAGCCTATGAACTTTTCACCCTACCTATGTAGGAGACTGTAGTAATAATTTTAAAAAAATATACTGTATATGTTGGTTATACATCTACATCCCTATCATATCATTTGACACGTCACTTCCAATAGAAGTTACATAAAAATCGGTATTACTAAAAAAAAACATGACAATAAAAAAGAAAATCTTACTCCAACCAACAACCAAAAATTACTTGTAAAAAAACATAAACCACTTTATAGTAATTATTGGAAAAACATTAATTATTTTTTAAAAACTGAAAAGAAGCAGATGACAGTAAACTATCACACACATACAAAGTTCATATTTGCACCAAAAAAAGTCAATTAAGATTTCACGCCAAGTTTCATCTTTATTTTATTCATTTTTAATTCGAAGTTTTTTGACATTTTTTTTAAAAATGAGGAACTTGTCCTATTTGACACCGTTTCGAGACTTTTTTTTTTTTTCCTTTGTTCGATCTATAATTATTGTTATGGTTTTATTTTACGAAATTATTTAAAACAGTAGCTCACGAAAAGGAAAAAGTCTTTTAAAAAGAAATGATAAAACAGACGACACAAAAGACGGTCAGGTACCTTTACTTTTTATGGCTTTCTTAAACTAAACACGAATTACGCTAGTTTTTTAAGCAAATTTTTTTTATTTTTTATGATTATGTAATTTACTTTGGACAGTGACTATAGCCTCTCCAGAGACCATTGCATTATTGTTATTATCTCCTCATATTTGAAAACTCCGATTTTATTGTAAATGGCACGAGATTTTACACAGGATTTCTTTATTCCCTGTCTTTGCTTCTAACAACTTTGAGGTTACGGTTTTTGTTAATTGCTATTATTTTTATAAAGAAACTTGTCAAAGACAAAACATTATTTTAAAAAAAAAAAACTTATTCGTTTATAAATAATCGATCCAAACCCGATTCTAGAACGAATGAAAAAAATATTTTATTCTAATTGCTTAGAAAGGAAGTATTTGTCATTTTAAATAATTAATCAGAGAAACTAAAATTACACTTTCGACGCTTTTTATTGTAACTCGAAAATCGTTTCGTTTTTTTTTTTTTTTTTTTTTTTACGAGCTTTAAGCTTGAACTAATCAATATTTCAAAAAGTCGGGCTCCCAAGGATAAGGAACTTAAGTTCAAATCTTCCCAGAGGCAGTTTCTTATTCCTCATTTATTTTCTGATCCACACTCAGTTCTTCTACGGCGACCGTACGGTTAGAAAAACGGTTTTCTAAATAAAAGAAATTATTATAAAATAAAAATATTTTGGCATTTTTCTAGTTATACGTCAACATACATATCATAAATTGCACAACTCATCACTTGCATTATCACATAATTCAAGTGATGAGTTGTGCAATTTTACCTGACTGCATCAGTTTTGTTTTACTTGGTTGTTTTTTGTTTAGTGCTATATCAATCTCTAAGGGTTATTTAATGCCAAAATCTAAATATTTTGTACTCAGTTTCATTTTGTGGGTGGGGAGATAATGGTTTTCCTGATACAAGTCTTACTAATTAACCCATAACTGGGGGTAGAAGAGGTGGATTCATACCTTTCCCAAGAGTATTTGTGCATAAGTGAACCCAACTGGAATTGGAATTCAGTTCTCTGATCAACAATTCCAAGCCATTATTCATTACATCATGTGTACATCCAAACTTACAGCAGCTGGTATTCCCAAGCAGGTACCCATCTAGGTACTGACCAGGCTCAACATTGTTTAACTTTGGTGATTGTACAGGATCTGGTGTTTGAACATGATGTGGCCATAAGCCTGTTAAATATTAATCTTACTAATTCTATACTAACACCTAGTGTTCCCATGGTCAATTTTCTGCACTTGGCTTCTTCTAGGGTTAGTGTTTGACTAAAATATGTAGTTGTATAACTGAATATGACTAAAATATGTAGTTGTATAACATCTCATACAATGTAGTCATTTAAGTTAATAAGTGTGGGTAACTACTGGGAGCCATCATTCAAATTATATAATCTTATGATTATGATAGGATCTCTTCTTTCTTGAGAAATCTAAAAGAGAGAATTAATATATAAGATAATAATGCATTGAAATAATAGTAATCATATACCTTGAAAATCACTATTGAATACTGGCTTTTACTTGGGTCAAAATTTAGCATCAGAGTTCAGGTAAAAGCCAATGGTATAATGGTTATCGTCACATAAAAGGGAAAGGGTGAGCTGAGATCAAATTTCAGCAGAGGCTGTTTGCATTTACTTTATACTAATGCTCTTTGGGAAATCATGAATATATCTATTCTCCACTCTTTGAATGAGACAACAATGCTGACTGGGCACTTTAGCTTTGGTAGGGCAACACTGAATTCAAAAACTAGCCTAAGATATACACTCTGCTGCTGTTGCCGATGCAATAGATGTGGTATCCCAACAACTCTAAAATGGTTTTCAGGATTCATGTATGCAAAAGTCAGTAGTTTGGAATGCTCATTTTCCAGGCAAGCAATTCTATTCTTTTGGGAAGACTAGCAAAGCACACTATTCCTATATACATGTCCCTCCCCTTTTATTTAGCCTTGTATTCAATTAAGTTAAAACTAATATATTTATATATAGATATATATATATTATCAAAAAATAAATACACTTAAATTCACCTTCACCCCTGACATGCACCAACAGCTTAAGCGTAGAATCTCTGATGCCAATTCAGACAGGTTTTAATGCTAGTTAGAGGCAACCAGACATTCAGCCACACTGATGAGCTGTGATACAGCAAAACAGTCTGTCTATGGATGACAATATATATGTCAACCTGATTGAAACCTGATTGATTTGGTATCAATCAGAGATTCTACCCCTAGGTTATCGTCACATGGCAGAGAGAAAGGGAAATTTTAATGTTTTCTATGCAATATATGTCAGTAGCCTGGAGAGCTCAATTCAATTCAGTTGAAGAGCAATGCATTAATAGTGGTATGAGCCACTGTTTTTAAAATTACCCTTTCTCAAGAGAGCTCAATCAGATTTTCTGGGATTATATATGTGTATATATATATATATATATATATATATATAAAACATTGGCTAAGATATATAACATTGGCTAAGTTTTGTCCTCTGATGGACTTTATCAAGGCAAATGGGAATTATGTCATTTGCTATCAGAGGACAAAATGCATTGGCTAAGATGTTTTTTTTTTGCCTTTATTATTCATATTGTCCTTTTACAGATACATTTTTAGTTATATCTGAAATTTTATATACATATATACAATGGAGTGATATATTGCCATTCAGATTGAGGAAGTTGATAGCTGAATTTGAATTTCAACTGAGTTCATTATATTCACTAATGTGCTAATAGCCTTGGGAAAGGTATAAATCCATCTCTTCTTCCTCCAGCTATGAATAAATAGCAGGACTGACTTGGTTCTACAGCCTTGGATGCAAACGATCTAGGGGAAGGACAACTCTGAATTCAAATCAGCCTAGTGATCTCACCACAGCTACAAGTAAATAACAGGACAGACTAGGTCCTATAGCCTTGGATGACAGTGGTCTATGAGAAGGACAACTCTGAATTCAAACCCTGTGGAAGGTCATTTGGGGACCTTGTTGCATACTGTGCATCAGTTCTCTGTATTTGGCTCTTCCAAAAAGTGTAATTGGTTCTGCAGAATCCTTCACCACTATCATCAAATGATATGTAAAGGTAGTCTGGCTGTTGGTTCTAAGAACTGAGCTGCTTGACCCTCTTACATTGAAAACAACAGGAGAGTCCAGTAGTATATATATGATAAAAATATAATTTTTAAATATGGTATATTTATGGGTAAAATTGCTCAATAGCAGAGATAAAGTATATGTAAATATAAAAGTGAACACTGAGGTCAACACCGAGAGGCAACAGTCTGTTTCATTGTTGAATGCAAACTTCATTTAAATTGTGCATAAACTACCCAAAGTACATGAACTTCAGAGAGTTTATACACAATTTCAATCTCAATACATAACATTTTATTTGAAAAATGGAAAAATAAAATGTTAAACCAACAAACCATGTCAGTTCTATTTAATCAAAATCATTTGGATGAATACTTGCTGCTTAAATATACTTTAGATATATAATAAAATGTATATTATCAAAATCAAGTCAAAAGTACACTGAGTTTCATGCTTGGCATATATATATATATATATATATATATATATATATATATATATATATGAGAGAGAGATACATAGAGATATAGATATGTGTATGTATACACATTTAATAATTTAGTATTATAGAATAATGAGTTTCTTGTTTGTGGAATTTGGTTTCTTTATCATTTATACATGTTTTTATATTGTTGAAGTATTCAGAAAAGTTATTTGCTTGTATTTTCTCACTATTCCTTTTTTGTTTTTGTTTGCTTTCAGATTGATATCTGCTGATTAGAGGTTTATCTTGGAGAATAACATCTCACTAAAAAACAATGGATTCTTTTTGTGAAGCTAAAAAATTTAGGTGTGATGTTTGTAATCAATTCTTTTATGAAAAGAATCTGTTTACCTTACATATGCAACAGCATGCCAACAAAAAATACTGTGATCTCTGTGAAAAAACCTTCCCAACAAAATGTGCTTTGGAAATCCACTTGAGAACACATACAGGTTTGAGGCCTTTTCAGTGTGAAGTATGTACAAAAGCATTTGCTGATAACAGTACCCTGAAAGCTCATTTACGAATTCATACTGGAGACACTCCACATCGCTGTGAAGTATGCAGCAGGGTTTTTTCTGAAAGTAATACCTTAAAAAGACATATGAGAACTCATACTGGAGAGACTCCATTTCCTTGTGAAATATGTGGCAAAGCTTTTTCTCATAAAGGTAACTTAACAAGTCATATGAGATGTCATACAGGAGAAACTCCATATCCTTGTGAAGTGTGTGGTAAAGCTTTTGCTCGCAAAGATGGCTTAAAAAATCATATAAGAACACATACTGGGGAGACACCATATTCTTGTGAAGTGTGTTCAAAAGCTTTTTCAGTTATAAGTGGTTTAAATAGACATATGAGAACTCATACTGGAGAAACTCCCTTTACTTGTGAAGTTTGTGATAAGGCTTTTTCAGAAAATGGTCATTTAAAGACTCATATGCGAACTCATACCGGAGAAACTCCATATCATTGTGATATATGTCCAAAAGCTTTTGCAGCTGTGAGTACTTTAAAATATCATAAGAGAACTCATACTGGTGAAAAGCCATATTCATGCAAAATTTGTGGGAAAGCATTTTCCCTAAAGCGTAATTTAAATAGACATGTATCAATACATGGCAAAGAGACTCTGTTTAATTGTGAAGTGTGCAAGAAAGGTTTTTCGCAAAACAATCGTTTGAAATTTCACATGAGAACACACACACGGGAGAATGTTAAGTTACCTAATATTGTAAGTTAATGTATCAACAAATTCTAGCACACTTGACTGATTGATTTATGAAAATTTTACAAATTACAATCTTTTGTCTGTTTTAGGTTTTTTTGTTTTTACAGGTCCATAAATCTTTGCAGGTTTTATTTTCAGAGAACCTGGTAAAGATTAACCTTCACAAGGTTAAAATCAGAAACAATTCAGGATTATAATGGATTAAAAAGATTGTATGGCAAAACCAATGTCTTTAATTTCTTTTCCACCTTCTCTTTCTTGAAAAGAAGTCATATCAGTCTTCGTTCACTTTTTCTCTTCCCTTTTTTATCTGCTACTGTCATTTGTCTTCTTTTATGTTTATATGGCAAAAACCCATGTTTTTAATCTCTTTTCTTTTTAATTATATCAGACTCTTATCCATTTTTACTTTTCTGTCAGCTGTGATCTTTTGATGTCGATCTGTAAATGAAAACTGATAAAGCACATAAGCATGTGTAATTTTTTTTCTAGGGATGGAGTGGTTTCTTGCTGTTTTCTCTACATTTTGAGGTTTATAGTTGTCTTTCCCATGGACTGCTTGCTATGCCAAGGCTAGAGAGCCTAGTTTAACTCTACCATGCTATTTTACTCAAAACTGGAAGAAGAGATAGGCATCTATGTGAACATAATAGCTTCAGCTGGACTTTGAACTTGACTTGGTAATTTTTATTTTTCACATTACCAACCATTTCACCACCCACACATCCCTGATATATGATCACCCAACTAAAAACAAAAAGTAAAAGTGTCTGTTTCTGTCTTAGTTATTGAACTCAAAACATTTATTATCATATGCTGGCAATAGTAATTACTGTATAAATTAGTCCATTGTACTCAGACAGGCTTAAATCCTATGAACTTAAATAAAAAATGATAGAATCTTGGTGAGAAGAAAGAATCTTGAAGACATTTAACAGTTATATTATGTCAGTACAATAAACACTTAATAGTCCCTAGTATAAAAAGATTTGTGCGTAAATCCCTCCTTTGGGGGATTTCGCATTATTTATCATCTCTCAGTTGCGTCTCTCTCCTTGGACAGAGTGTGCTCAAGGGCTTCTCTGTCAAAGGACAGAGGGGCAACTGAGGAAAATTATACTGAAGAGGTGCCCAGCCCTGTGGAACAGCTGCCCGAGGCCACGCTGAGGGGAATTTTTGTCTCTACCTGGGTGTACGCGCTTGGGTCGCCACATTAAACCGACCTTGTGTCACATCTTGTTCTAGTGGGGGAACGAGTAAATACCAGTATAAAAAGATTTGGAATTTACAAACCTTATAACAGGGTTTAGATTGGGCCAAAGCCAAGGCTGATTTGGAAAAAAAATATTGA